GTAAATATCTTGTAAAAAAAATTTAAATAGTTCATAAAAGTACATTTTGTCTGTAAATTGAATAATCTACAACGTATATTCAAAAACTCCGTAATTTTTAAAACCTTTTTCAGTGCAAACAAATTAATTATAGGTGCATGTCATATAAAATCTAAGATTACCTTAAATCCTTCATCGCCGATTTCATCTCTCAGTTCTCTGGAAATTTCTGTATAATCACATGTTTTCTGTCGAGCAAGGAGTATCCCCAGAAAGGTTCTAGCATGTGTGGATTTACGTGATAATTTCTCAGTGGAACGAAGGAAATATTTTATTTTCTTTATTAGGACATCGTTGGTGACGTCTGAAGAAGGCCCAGCATCACTCATGGCTAAGGAAGTGACAGAAAATATACAATTAATAGACACTCGGCACAGAAGATTTTTTAGCCTCTTAGGAACTGGAATTCCTTTTCCTTTTTGTCACCCTGAAGGAGCTCGCTTGGGGTCTGTAGAAAATCAAGAATGTGATTCTGCACTGTGTACTACAACCGATATACAATATTTTGAGGAGAAAACGAATTTTCAGCAGTGCAGCCCACAAGACAAAGCGTTTGATTCGGTTGCTTGCAAGTGGTTCGCTGTAGGTTTGCGGTTTGAATCAATTGACATTTTTGTATTATATTGAGTTTATCCAATCTCAAGAACCCACAAAAGTCAGTGGTGATGGAAGTGACAACTGCACGTGAATTAAGTGCCGGCAGTTGAATTAAATCGAGACAAAGGATCGACGTCTGTTTAGGCCTAAGGTCGTCACTTACTAAGAAAACCGTTGAACCGATCTATTGGTTCTAATTTTTTTATCGTATACCTTTTTCAGTTTATGTAAGGTTGAAATTAAATGTAACCGATTAGCTGTCATCATTTTTCTTCTGCATAATTTCTGAAGTCTTATTATCTCTGAGTTTTGTGCTTACACCACAAAATCACAATGATCAAAATAAAATATTTTATCAGTCGACCAATTTCACGTCTTAAGTTTCCCTACTTTCTTTTTTTATGTTTGTTGGTTCCATCGTACGTTTGCATTGTATAAAAACTACTTAATATGTGCAAGACACTCAGTTTGTTGAAGAAAAGAATGCCGAATGACCGAAACGTTCTGATCCACAAGACTCTTTTACTGGAATTTGGACTAGAAACATTCTCATTGAAACACTGGAACACTAGAAGCATTCTCAGTTTTGGTTGCCACTACTCAGCGAAAGTATTGGAATTATTAAAAGTTTTGGTTGCTACTACTCCACGAAAGTATTGGAATTATCAGAAGTTTGCATCTTGTTAATTAAAGTTCTTCGAGGATAACCGCGTTCGTTGGAGTCCAAGCGTTTGAAATACTTTATCCAGCAAGTCCAAGATAAGTATCAACAGAATATCGAGAACAAAAAAAAAAACACTTAAAAAAATTGCATATTCTTTCAGATATATTTTGCTTTATTTGAGTCCCTTAAGGATTTAAGTTCATTAGAACGTACTTTATCAACATTTTACCGTCACTGTTTCATTAGCTAACTACCTCAGTGTTAATTCTTTGCAATTATTTATATAAGTAGTACTATTCATTGTACTCGTACTGGCTTTGATAACTTGTCACGAAAACTTTTAGAGAATAGTTACGCTATATGAACTCTTGCTATTATAGAAATATATTGTCAAATATAATATCAATTGAAATCAAGATATTATCGTTACAGGCTAAGCGACTCTTGTTTGAGGTTTATTGTCTTTATTTGGCTGCCTGTTGGCGTGGTATCACCGTAGTTCCGCTTTCGATTCAGCGTTGTCCGCCTGTTCCTATGCCCTTTTGTACACGTAAGTGGGAGGGAAGAGTGTTTGTCTACACTAAAATTGCATACACTGAAGTTCACGGAAGATTGGTAAGACAATTATTCATTGTTATTATTTATTGTTATTTATATATTTATTATATACACTAGTCCCATACATTTTATAATTTATGCATTTATCAGCATTTATATCGTGCACCGCTATTATTATTAAGTATTTTGGTTATCGCTTCACCTAGTATTACTTAGTTATATTTATTGCGGTAATTAAATTGGTAAGTATGACTGAAAACGTAGCCGAAGAAGATGTTGAACGCATAGCATACAGATTTTTACAGCTGATTCCCTCACTCGTGTTGAGGCTATTTTCATTTCTTCAAATTTGATTAGGTATAATTGTTTTCCTCAGTTAAAACTAACCTTCCACCACCTGTGAAAAAGCTGCAACCAGATGATTGTTGTTGACCGAAATGTTGAGGTTCAGGCTGTGAAGGAGTTGCAATAGAATACCGTCGAAGCTGCATGGCTCTAGAACATATATTAAAATAACGTATAGCTCAAAAAGTCCAAAGAGTTTTGTCCAATATTGTTAAAGATTTATAATAATGGTGATGTCATGAACAATAGCAAGGGCCATGTAATTTCTGATTTAGTYGACCTAAGTCTAGGTAAATATGGCTAAAAAAAGCTTGTCACAAACCTGGACATTGTGAGTTCTTGGGACATTTTTTATTCTGTTTTAAAGRAATAACCTTTCTGTTGTACGATGGGCAGTTGGCTAGTTTGTCTTTGACCAAGTCGAGCTTGTGGCTCTTCTTATCACCACATTTACATGATGTCCAATCTATAAGAAAACCATAAACTCTTTCCAAAATGGCCGCCTCCCAATAGAATGAGTTTTGGGTTTTGCTTTGTTTTTTGTTTGTYTGTTCGTTTGTTTGTTGCTGTTTGTTTGTTTTTTGTTGATTTTTTGGTGGTGGTGTTTTATTCAGAAAGAGGCAAAATGACTCTTGAAATACTAAAACTAGATATTGTTCATCACTTCAGGTCGTGTATAATCAAAACGGAAAAAAATGCTTCCAACCATACATATACTGTAATTTTAAGAACTTATATTGCAATAGATTATTGATGGTTTTCTATAGCTCTATTTTTGCTATGAAAAGAACGGAACCTCGCCTTCAARGATTCCAAATAAAAATGAAGGTTTAATAATACATTACCGCTAYGGAACAGTCACAGCGCGAAAKTATCGTGTTTTTTGCACAGTCATACGAAATCCACTCTAATGCAAATGACGTTTTTTTACATCTTTACAGCTATACAACGCTCAATAGAATGATTATTAATGAATCCGTGCAAGAAATAACATCAATTAGCARATTAAATTCAAGTACCCATTACCTGGCATCCTGTAATACACAAAATTCGCCATTCCCTTTCCAACTCCATGCATCTTTTTTCCTTTGCCAGTAACGTCACAGTCGTGCGAGCAATTGTTTTTATCATAAGCCTCATCATCTTCGGCGCCCCAGCATTCATTGCCATTTTGGACTCCCAAATAAGGCAAACCTTGACGTTCTGCCTTTTTCGCACATTTATTGAAGATGTTAGAAGGATTCTTTGAATTGACATGTCCAAGATTGTGCTTTGAAGCACTATCCTTTTTGACTTTATAACATCCCATAACGCGCCATGCTGAAAATCATTTGCAATGTCTATATATTATCGATAAATTTTCACAAATAGGCAACATGACAGAGTGAAAAAAAAAATTGAATGAATGTCAGGTAATCGATTTAAGTATTATCATTTTATTATTTTATTATTATTTTTTAAGAATTGATAGAGCATAAAAGAATTCGGAAATACAATTGTTCGACAAGGTTGTATTACTTGACAACCACGGTACTTGCTCTGAAATGTTTGACTGCCTGACGGATCTTTTTTTTTCGGAACGCAACAATCCGTCAGACAATCTCAAAATGCCGATCTTTGTATGTACAACGTTGTCGAACAGTATTATTTGTAGACTTTTTTCAATTCCTCTTGTTCCGTTACTTGAAATATGTTTGGTTTTGTTTGATCACTCCGTCCGGTTGCCTGACTTTTAAACACTCCGTTTTTGKGTTTAGAAAAATTGAGATATACAATTTTTACCAGCTTTTAACCTACTACATGATTGAAAGAGATAAAAAATTAGAAACAATGCAAATCTGACAAACAGATGAATCAAAGCAATCACGAGCGGCGAAGCAACATAAGTAACAACAAAGCAAAATAGAAACATAAGTAACAACTTAAACAGCAAAAATAGGTCACACACAAAAGGCAAAGTACCCACACGAAAAGCAAATTATACTAGCCGTACATTCATGTCTACGCATACTAAACTGGCACGAAAAGAAAACAGAGAGAAAATCATACATACTGGCTTTGGCACCGAAAGCTTCTGGTATACACATGTATATTATCCCTATCACAATTATGGCGGAAATTTCTCCTCTTGTCATGATGACGATAGCAAGATGAACAACTGCAAAAATGAATGTAAGAAAACAAGATGAAGCAATAGCAGTATTAGTAACCAGAAAATTAATATTTTTGGGGGTTTACTTTAACTTATGATTATATTTTTTGTTTGCTTTCTTATGTGCCCAGACGTTTGTGATCACTTTGCAAGACCGCTTGATTACACCGAGATTGATTACCCGTCAGTAGCAAGGGCAAAACTTAGACTATTTTTACTCTAAAAGTATTTATTCGATAAGACGGCAAAAATCAAACTTGTTCATCTACATCCTCAGATCATAAGACACACGTACCTTACCTTGACCTTTCAAACTACGAGACTCACATAGATGTTAGAACTTTCCGAACAAAGATCACCGAAGAGTTATTAAGATACAGATGTTATTACCGTAGGTTATCGCTTAACAATACAGCAGCGAGACGCCTCAATTAACGAGTCCAAGGCCTGGAGCGAGTTCTCCATCTAAGCAATTACACCTGAAGTTTGATTAGTTTCCTTTTGTTCTTGATGTGTTCTTAACTGGAACCCTATCACTTTGAAATGTTATTTTTTTCCCTACCAATTAGCCTCACATGGAGTTTGAGATTAAGCATATAACTGCTGGATGCTCATTACATGCTCAGACATTGTTTGGCAGAAGGGGTTGAAAACATTGTGTTTTGGTAATCATTTTTTTACACTATTGAATACGCTATGACAGATGCTAGCTTAACCTGTAAAGGCCACTATAATTACTGCCCAAACATCATAATGCATCTACGGTATTTTATATGGAAAGTCAAGCAAGCCCTTAACAATATCTAAGAAAATTGTAATTCTCGCTGCGCTCGGTCCGTACTGTCAATACCTCGGTCTGATATTTTCCCGTACAGTATCCTCGTCATTCGCGCGCCGGTTTTTCACATCTGCCCGGTCCGACGGAATCCTACCTGCAGCTAGGCTGTGAGCAAAGCTGCATTAAATAAAAATAAAGAAAAAAAAATAAAAATATTATATACCGGCTATGGTCGGTCCGTATAGGAAAACACTGCCCTCGGTCTTTTATATACGGACCTCGCTCGTTCCGTACTTCCAAGACCTCAGGCAGTGTTTTCCTATACGGACCTCCCAGCCGGTAAATAACGGGATTCCGGGATTTCGTGCGCCCGCGATACTTTTTGGGCGCATGGGGTTCGTAAGGTGTCGCGCATGTCCGTGACATTTTTGTGCAATTAGCATATTATGACGTAACGGAAGTGAATTTTTCAGTGAACGGAAGCGAAATATCTGACAACAGCCGTAAAGGTTTTGCTACAAGGCGGGAAATTATGTGAAATGAAAACTTCGCGAAGTGCCTAGAAAGGCAGCTTTTATTCCTTTAGAGACAAGAAAGTTCACCTGGTCTTTCATTAGAGAGACTAAGGGAAAAATAACGATGACTATTGCCCCACTGGAACCAGACATCTCGTCGAAGACTAGTCGCGCTGTTTGAAAAATAAGAGATTTGCCCGAGCCAGTAGGAAGAATAACAAGGACATCTTTTCCAAGAACAATCTCTTTAAGAGCCTTTTGCTGTATTTCTCTAAATTCGTCCAAGCTAAACGACCTCAGAGCGTTCAAACGAGAATCTCAAACGACGAATTGTCCGCCATTTTGTTACACTGCGACCACGGCTGCCTGCTAATATATTAATGATATGCCCTTGAAAATATCGGGGGCCACTCGCTGATTGGTCGAGACTGACAGTAGCGAACCCCATGCGCCCAGCCGTCAGGGGAGAGTGTATCGCGGGCGCACGAAATCCCGACGGCTGGAGACTGAGCCTAGTAGGTACCTAATGAATTCGTTCGCTCAACTATGCTTCAAGATTGCAAATGAATAATATATCATTTGTTAAAATGCACATACCCAGAAAGTAAAAAGTTGGCGTTGGCTAATTAAAGATCCACTTTAATTTGTTCTCAACCCATTGAATAGGGCATTAAGCCTCTTCGGATATAAAATATATAGTATTATTTCCATTTAAAAGTAATTTGATAATTTGTAAAAAACTTGTTTAAACTACTTTCTCTTACTTCTCACCTATATCTGGTTCTATAATGTCTCTCAATTCAGCTGCCTCTGAAAGGCAGCGCGTGGGACTTTTGAGTGTGCGACATTTATAACAATCGGCCTACATAAAAGCTGTTTTGGAGAATGGAACATTTACGACGACAGGTCATTGTCAGTAATTGTATGATAGGTGAGTATATATTCACCCATCAAAGCACAAAAATGGAGAGTATTTTGATAAATGGCAATCTTCAGTATGTTTTAGTAACTTAGTCACCATGTACGTTTCTTAGGTATAACTTTTAAAAACTCGGTAATTCCACACAGTAGCATCTGGGCGCATGACACAAAGACTTACCTTTAAGAGCCGCTCTCAAAATCTCTTAAGCAGTGCCACTGGAGCTAATAGTAAATTCCAGGGAAAAGTTCAATTATATATACTATCCCCTTTGT